GTAAAACATCAAAGGTTTTGTTAACCACATTTGTTTTAAAAAATCTAGTGGTTTAAGCCTATTACCTATGCTAGCTTTGTATGAAATATGTAAGACTCATGATACCACTGTTTATTTAAGTAAAAAGTTACTATGATGTATAGATTCTAAGATGCACACCATTTTCATATCACAACACTCCCAAATCATAATGTGTCTTACAATCAACCAATCATAGAGCATAGTTTAATTGATAGCATATTTTACTTATTAATAGTACATAAAATAATGGAATTTCTACTAATGGATAACATACGTTTAATGAAGTTAGACTGACAGACATTTCCAAAGTTTTAGTTTTTTTTCCATATACATTATACATGCTCATGAGCTCATGTGTTCGATGTTAACTCATTATGTGTTTACTGGAAAGTACAACAGATAATACAAAGCAATTGATATCTTGTAATACAAATTAAAGTTTTAATTATTATATTTTAAAAGGATTCACAAACCCCAAAGCATGTAAGAATCAGACAGGGAATAGATGAGTGACACAAGCCTTGGCAGTGCCCAGGTCACGTGAGTGGTGGGCGTTACAAAAGGGCCGTTGTGCAGGAATGCTGATGTGCTACTGCCTGATCTGCTAATTTTTTAAGAGAAGCCAAAAAATCCAATTTATTGTGTACCATTTACTGACCTGTAAATTTGGGCTCAAATAAAAACCACATCTGGGAGCTGCATCTAGCCCATGGTATGCCAGTGTGTGACTTTGGGCTGAATGTCAGCTCTTTGAGGGCAGAAATCTTTATCTGTTTCATTTGACCAGTATCATTAATACCTAGAATGGAATCTAGTATGTAGTAGGTACTCAACAAATACATGTTTTGTGAACAAAGTTAACATTAAATCTCTCTGACCCTTGCAGACCAATGTATAGAGAAATAGATATGTGTAGAATTTTTTAAAATGACATTTCTGGATAATATAGAAGGAATTCATCTCATAGTTCCAGTAGGTTTTGTTTGTTTTGTTGTTGTTGTTGTTGTTGTTGTTTTTAGCTTCATATATTTGGAAATTTTCAAGGGAAAATTTCTATATGGCAGAAAACCTTTTCATGCTGTTGACAAGTTAATTCCTTTTTTTTTTTTTTAAATTATACTTTAAGTTGTAGGGTACATGTGCATAACGTGCAGGTTTGTTACATATGTATACTTGTGCCATGTTGGTGTGCTGCACCCATCAACTCGTCATTTACATCAGGTATAACTCCCAGTGCAATCCCTCCCCCCTCCCCCCTCCCCGTTATAGGCCCCGGTGTGTGATGTTCCCCTTCCCGAGTCCACGTGATCTCATTGTTCAGTTCCCACCTATGAGTGAGAACATGCGGTGTTTGGTTTTCTGTTCTTGCGATAGTTTGCTGACAATGATGGTTTCCAGCTGCATCCATGTCCCTACAAAGGACACAAACTCATCCTTTTTTATGGCTGCATAGTATTCCATGGTGTATATGTGCCACATTTTCTTCATCCAGTCTGTCACTGATGGACATTTGGGTTGATTCCAAGTCTTTGCTATTGTGAATAGTGCCGCAATAAACATGCATGTGCATGTGTCTTTATAGCAGCATGATTTATAATCCTTTGGGTATATACCCAGTAATGGGATGGCTGGGTCATATGGTACTTCTAGTTCTAGATCCTTGAGGAATCGCCATACTGTTTTCCATAATGGTTGAACTAGTTTACAATCCCACCAACAGTGTAAAAGTGTTCCTATTTCTCCACATCCTCTCCAGCACCTGTTGTTTCCTGACTTTTTAATGATTGCCATTCTAACTGGTGTGAGATGGTGTCTCATTGTGGTTTTGATTTGCATTTCTCTGATGGCCAGTGATGATGAGCATTTTTTCATGTGTCTGTTGGCTGTATGAATGTCTTCTTTTGAGAAATGTCTGTTCATATCCCATACTTCTTCTTACTTAATCTTCAGACCTGAACTCTGTCCTTTTTCCTAAGAATCTATTCTCCTTCTCCTCTGTCACTCATCAGGGCTCCCAGGGCAGCCTGGGCTTGCCTCCCCTGTGGTCCTGCTCCCTACGATGTGCACTGACACACTCATCGTCTTCATTTTGGGGGCTGCTAACTTCCTGAGGACAGTCTGGTATCTGACTTTGTATCCCTTGGCATAGAGTAAGCATTCAACAAATGTCTGTTAATTGTTTTTGTGGTATTGAATTGTAAAAGTAAAAAATTCAGAAGTGCTTTTCTTTCTCTAGACTAGGTTTCAGTTTTATACAAATGCCCTACTTATATATTCAGCAAATATTTTTACAGCCTCTATTAAGACTAAGTCACAGTCCTGACCTGCAGGGATTCACTCTGAACAGACAGACATACATAAATAATTGTGTGTTAAAATCTATAGTAAAGGAGAAAAATGTGCTGTGAGAATATGCAGGGCATTCGTTATGATTTAGGGAGTCTGGGAGGTGAAGGATTTAGATCCCTGCCCAAGGTTAGCATTCGGGGAGGATTTTCTCCTACATAGGGAGTAGCTCTCAGAACAGCTACTTCATTGTAACAATTCATGGGTTGCAGAATGGGTTCTGCATGTCACCAGGCAACCCTCCCGTGCACAGGACCTGCACACTTGACAAGAAAGTCATTGATGACTCCCTGAAAGTGGGAAAGGACAGAAAATCTTACATGGGGAGCAGGTGAAGAAAGATAGTAGGCGTTCACTTCCCCCTCAAATGTTTTGGTAATGATAAGAAGTAGAACTTAAAGGAGACAGCATGCTTTTCAGGATCAGAAAGATCTGTACATTTTTAAATCAGAGGGTAAGGAATTACTGGAAGGCAGGATTACCAGATAACTAAAAGGTAAATACTGGACTGAGATCCTTTGGGTCATGAAGGCATGTAAAGTAGATCACAAGGAAGAGGGAGTCAGTATAGTCTCAAAAGAAATAAACGTTCAGTGTTGAGAACTGACTGTCTTAATGAAAGGATAAAGTTAGTCACAATCTCGTCTTTATCCTGATGCTGATTGGGGAGCTCTTTTAAATATATATGCATATGTACTCTGCCTTAATCCAAAAAGGTCAGAGTTGGGACTCACTGAAGATAACTGCACAGAAGATTTCTAGAAATTTTATCCATTTCATAACATTTTCTAGAACATGTTAATACTTTAAGAAACAAAAGTAGAGTTAAGCAAAGCATGTTTGTTGACTCATTCCTTCAATAAACATTTAAAGGCTGCCTACTAAGTGCAAGACACTGATCTAGAGATTAAAACATGTTTAATTTTACCCCTGACTCCTCACTCCCACTTGAGTCCTTTTTCTGGGAAGTAAAAACAGGAGTAGCAGTATCTGTTGTTAGAGAGACATTTAGCTGTTAATGATATATGAAGCTAGGTATTAGACATTTGCTAACCAGGGCAGCATTAACAATAAAATTACCACTTTTGTTTCCCAAATAATTCTCAAGAGTTTGTTATTAAAAATGTGAACCTAACCAGAAATGGTCTGTTCCCCTTTTATAATCATAAATCTTGCATTGGGGAAAAAAAGTAGGATGTAAATGCATCATATGTGAATAAAATTTAGTTAAATAGTCACACTTTACTTATGAGTGGACACCATGCAAATAAATGTATACATAAAAATTGGACAGCACTTAAAGAGATTTAATAACTCATCCTATTGCTCTGCAGATAAAAGAACCAAAGTCCCATTTACGCGATGGCTAAAATATGGCAGATAATGATGCATTCACCTTTAATATTGCTAATAAATTTGCAGGTTCACATTTTTATTGATAAACATTTTCTTGAAATGCAGTGTAGGAGGGCAGATTTTCCAATTTAAGTACTTTATAAATTAGAATTGTAGATAGCAATGAGATTAGCGGTGGTGCTATGTCAAGAGCCATCTACCAACTTACCTGTGCTTCTACAAGCACCTAGCTATGATTTTCATATTTCACTTTTATGTGCAACCAAATTGCATACAATTTAGGGAAAAAAATAGCATGGTAGCAGAGTAATGATCATAGTAAATATCATGCTTCTCCTTGTTGACATAAATTACATATACTATTTCAGAAAAATATTTTTGTTAGTCTACTTTAATATATTGAAAGATTTTGCCTATAGAATTTATGTATAGAGGAAATACTTAAGTTTCTTTTAAGATTATCTCTTTGACACACACAAGAAAGGTATATTGTACAGTCCAGACAGTTTGAGGGCTAAAATTTTTTTTATTCATTGGAAGCTATAAAATCTCATTTCCAGCTACATAGGCTTTAATGAAATAGTGTGTAGCTCAGGATCCAGAAAGATTTCTTTCTTCTTTGGGTGAGTTCTCTCTCAAATTTCAGGGAAAAATTTTGAGAAAATGAATTTATACGTTAAAAATAATATTCCAGAATTCATCTTAAAATAGCGTAGAAAGCTAAAATATATTTTTGTAACGAAAGTTTTGTTATATTTAATTATGCTATAAAAGCTTGGTGTTCTTTCTACTGATTGTCCTCTGAATTAATTGGAACCTATAACTTTCTGAATTTTATTTTGTATAATTGGTAGGCTTTATATCTCGTTCTTTTTTTCCCTGTTAAGATTCCAGAAACTTATTTCATTAGAGACCCCCATACGTTCCTTCTTACAAAGGACTTTATTAAGGTATATGTGCTGTATTTAGTGTGGAAAGTGTTCTTTGGTCTTTAGCTGCATGCATGTATTCACAGGTTAGCTTTTCCACATTTAACCCCAGCTTCTGGAAATAAGAATAGTGACTGGGTTAACTGAAGCATGTTTGGAAGGAGAAGCAAAGCTTGTCTACAAAATACTAACACTTGGATGATTCTGCACCCTGAGAAAAGAGCACCCGTTGAATTTTCTGGACTTTTTTTCATGGCTGACTTGGGATACACTTGCATTGTCAAAGAGTGTGTTGGCCTCTCTCTTTGATGCATATTGATTATGACAATCACCCTCCTTCCCCTGCAGGCCATGGAGGCACAGATACAGAACTTTGGACAGACGCCATCTCAGTTGCTTATTGAGCCACATCCGCCTCGGAGCTCTGCCATGCACCTGGTAAGACATATCAGCATGTTGAGGGGTTTTTTTTCTTTCTTTTGTACCTGGGAATAGAGCAAATAAAATAGTGATTTTAACAGCATATTTTAAAAGTTTTCTCGATTTATTGGTTAACTCTTCAGCCTAAGTACAAACTAATACCCTAGGGAGAGACCGAGAAGGGAGTGTAAATCTACCTTTAAGTCTTACTTAAACGACCCCACTTTTGGATTCAAAAAAATAGCCATCTTCTCTATGTATGCCTCTACATAAACTCATTCATGCACACACAGGCATAGAGACACACACTGACACCAGAATTAGACTGTATTTGTAAGTTACAGTGAAAAATATATTGCAGACACAATATGATATTGCTAAATTTCAGGGCAAGATACAGTAGTATCTTATAGTTCTTTTGAAGAAAAGGAAAGAAATATAAAGGTAATTTATGGTTATTGCAGAGAGGTTGTTGAACAGAGTGGTTAAGAGTAAGGGCCCCAGAGTCAGACAGGCCAAACACCATCTCTGCACTAGCTAGTAAATGACTTGGGCAAGGTATTTAACCTCTCTGTGTTTGCATTTCAGCATCTATAAAATAGAGGTAAAAATAGTACCTACTACTGAGAATTGAATGATTCAATACTGTATAGCACTTAGACCAGCAACTGTCATACAATAAGTTCTTAATAAATGTTAGCTGACATCATCATAATTAGCTACTGGTTAAACCTCTTATTCCCCCTTTTCTAAGGGAATCATATTTTTTTCATTTTAATCTGAATTAAAAGTCCATTTCCATTAAAAAAGTTTCTTTACAGATTATTAGCAAATAGTAAACATTTTCTTCTTTAAGTAATTTGAAAAAGGTAAAATTTTTATGAGCAATTTCTTTAGCATTTATTTTTTTTAATTTATTTATTATTATACTTTATAGCATTTATTTTTAAACTGATTTTTCACTATTTTTTTACTGAAGTAAAAAATACTTGAAGGTAAAAATGTGTTCACAAGATGAACTTCAAGACAACAAGTACTCTAATTTTAGAGTAAAGAGCTCTGGAATATGGTCCATAATGTCTGTGTAAACAAATGTATAAGCTGTTATTTCGTGATGGAAGTATTAATCACACCTTTCATTTACTCTGTCATTTAACGAATTTTTATTGAGCCCTTTCTGTGTGTCAGATCTGATGCTAAGCACTGGAGATACGGTCACAAATACTTTCTCTAACCTTTCAAGAAATCAGTAGTCAAACTTTTGGGAAACACATAAATGCTTTTTTTTTTTTTTTTTTAAGACAGAGTCTCACTCTGTCACCCAGGCTGGAGTGCAGTGACGCAATCTCAGCTTACTGCAACCTTCGCCTCCCAAGTTCAAGCAATTGTCCTGCCTCAGCTTCCTGAGTAACTTGGATTACAGGTGCGCACCACCACCCCTGGCTAATTTTTGTATTTTTAGTAAAGACAGGGTTTCACCATGTTGGTCAGGCTGGTCTCGAACTCCTGATCTTGTGATCTGCCCGCCTCGGCCTCCCAAAATGCTGGGATTGCAGGTGTGAGCCACTGCACCTGACCTAAATGCATTTGTTTTAAACCTTTTTTTAAGATAAGGTCTTACTCTGTTACACAGGCTAGAATATAGTGGCATGATCATGGCTCACTACAGCCTCAAACTCCTGGGCTCACACGATCTTTCTTCCCCAGCCTTCTTAGTAGCTGGGACTACAGGTGTGTGCCACCATGTCTGGCTAATTTTTTTAAATTTTTTGTAGAGATTGGGTTTCACTATGTTTCCCAGGCTGGTCTTGAACTCCTGGGGACCCTCAGTCTCCCAAAGTGCTGGGAATACAGGCATAAGCCGCCATGCCTGGTGTGTGTTTAAACTCTTTTTTTTTTCTTTAACCTTCCTACAACAGCTCAGCCAAACAGCTTCGTCCCCCTTGGTTAGTCACTAATGAACTCTCTTGACTGCAGTTGGTTCTTCTGTATGACTAAACAGAAAGGTTTGCACCAAGCTCAGGCTGTTGCCATATAAACCCTCAGCCACATTGTAGACACAGAGATGTGGCCTTTGAGCCTCACCATTTTTAATAAACTGTCCAGGAGGATATCTCTAACACTTTATTTTATGAAATGCTTTGGCAGAAGAGTTTTATTCCCGTGTTAGTTTTCTGTGTTTAATAATAATAATAAAAATATTTATCCTGGAGATATGCCCAGTCAGAATTCATTACTTTCCTAGGGGAAGTTGTTAGAGACTGAATTGGCGTGAAACTGTTTATAAAGAAAATCTAGGCTTTCTAAGTTCATGTAGCAGAGAATTCATATATACTGCAAACCATCATGAAACATGTATGAAAGCTAAATCATGGTTATTTCCAACCTCCCTACTTTATGTTTTTAATATGGTGGTATTTGTAGTGTTTTGTAGGACTTATAGTATCCACTTTCTGTCAAGTTGTATGCTGGATGTTTACAAAACAGAGGCTAAAAACAGAAAGAAGAAAGCACATGTACACACGAGGGGGAACAGCACCCACTGGGGCCTGTCGTGGGGTTGGGGGTGGCAGGAGGGGAGCATCAAGAAGAATAGCTAATATATGCAGGGCTTACTACCTAGGTGATGGGTTGATCTGTGCAGCAAACCACCATCACTCATGTTTACCTATGTAACAACCTGCATGTCCTGCACGTGTATCCTGGAACTTAAAATAATTTTTTAAAAAAGAAGAAGAAAAAGCATTGACCCTGCGTAAGCTCCCAGCCTAGAAGGAAGAAACAAGGCTTCAACCATAAACAGTCAGTGCCAGAGCAGAACCTGGGGAGCACTGCCAGAGAAGCGCTCGGCCGCTTTGTGGAGGCTATTGTATTTTAATTATTTAGACTGTAGTCATGACCCCAGATCAACCAGATAGAAATGAAAGTATTAGTCAATTCACTTTATATTTCATGTAAAAAATGTGAGTCACTGATTTGACTGACTTTCCCACCAAACTGATCTTTAAGCTGCATTGAATAACTGTGTTACATCGTGTGGGTGTGTCTGTGAGCTAACTTTTCACATTGCATTGTGGCGATACTTGAATTGAGGCTGGTCTTTAATGATTCTGTGTCCCTGTATTACTGACTTCACATAATTCTTATTCTCTAGTCTCTGTGCCATCCCCAAGTCAAAGCTGCTCGATTTGGGGCAGACATTCACCAGTATGAAAGTTTAGGTGGGATGGGCGCCGTAGCTCACGCCTGTAATCCCAGCACTTTGGGAGGCCGATGCGGGCGGATCACGAGGTCAGGAGATCCAGACCATCCTGGCTAACATGGTGAAACCCCATCTCTACTGAAAATACAAAACATTAGCCAGGTGTGGTGGCGGGCACCTGTAGTCCCAGCTACTCGGGAGGCTGAGGCAAGAGAATGACGGGAACCCGGGAGGCGGAGCTTGCAGTGAGCTGAGATCCCGCCACTGCACTCCAGCCTGGGGGACAGAACGAGACCCCGTCTCAAAAAAAAGGAAAACAAAGTGTAGGTGGCCTTTCCTCCTTGTGTGTGCTCGTGCTAATCTTGTCTGTTTAACCTTATTCTCCCTAGGCCTTTCACTAACTGTGTTATTCCTTTTGTCTTCCTCTGTTCTCTTCCCTTTCTATTCAACAGTGTTTCCTTCCACAGAGTCCGCTCATGTTTAAAGATCAGATGCAACAGGATGTGATAATGGTGCTGAAGTTTCCTTCAAATTCTCCAGTAACCCATGTGGCAGCCAACACCCTGCCCCACTTGACCATCCCCGCAGTGGTGACAGTAACTTGCAGCCGACTGTTTGCAGTGAATAGATGGCACAACACAGTAGGTATGTGTGCCTGAGCAAATTGCTCACTAAAGATTTCTTAAAAGCTACAATGAAGGTAAAAAAGTGTGCTGGGATTAGCTCATATTCCACATAATCTACAAAAAACAGCAGACTAAATAACTTATTGTCAAACCCAACTGAGTGACTCCTATCTGTCTTCTTCATTTCTGCTGTATGTTAGTGCCTCATAAGATGCTTGGATCATAGTTAAGTACTCAATAAATATTTGACAAATTGAAGCAGTTCTACCAATAATTCAGGTTCTCCTACTCTATTCTTCTATTGCCTAACTGCAAAAAAATGCACCCCACTTTTTTCCTATATCAAACAGAAGTGAGTTTGAATGTGGGTTTCTGTATGCTGGCTTCAAATCCTCTTTTCTCTTTATCAGTAATTTACAAGCAAATATTTGAATGACTATTATGTGTCAAGTAGTCCTAAGCACTGTATATACAGCAATAAACAAAACAAGCACCAGCTCTATTTTTGCAGAGCTTAGAATCTTTGCAAAAACACAAAATCTAAATTCTCCAGTGATTTCATATTTCACATGTGTTTCTTCAAAGTCACTCCTGAAAGTACCAGCCAATACATCTTGAAGCGACACAATGCTGTGGCAAACATTTAGACATATTGCAGGAGTTCAAGACCAGCCTGGTCAAGATGGTGAAACCCATCTCTACTAAAACTACAAAAATTAGCCAAGCACAGTGGCAGGCACTTGTAATCCCAGCTACTCGGGAGGCTGAGGTGGGAGAATCGCTTAAACCCGGGTGGCAGAGGTTTCAGTGAGCTGAGATCGCGCCACTGTACTCCAGCCTGGGCAAGAGAGTGAGACTTCATCTTGGGGAAAAAAAAAAAAAAAACATCTAGACATATTGATCCTTAACCAGGGCAGAAGTGGATATGACCAAAAGATTTAGTTGGCCCAATTCACCACTTGAGATCTCCCAGGAAGCCGAGGACTCCCCCAGTCTCCAGAGTTGAGTAGCTGAGTCATGCCGAAATAACCTGAATCTTTGTATTCCACTGACCTCTACATTGCTCTAAAAATTACAGTGATTTGTACCATAGCTTTATCTCCTAAGAGTTTCTAAGTGCACTTATTTTAAGGTTATTGGTGATATTATCAACATAAGGTAATGCTACTTCCATTCAATCAGAGATAGGCAGCAAATATCTTAAGGAAAATTTATGACTATATTATTATCAGGAGACAGCCTCTAGAAATGTTTTGCATTGAGAAAAACTATGAAGGACTAAAGTTTTGCTTAAAATTGTTCAAAAGTGTTGTATATATTATATAATCACATGTGAAAAACTATGACTAATGAACTTCATCAAGCCCTAAACATTAATCCTCTGAAAGTAGCTTTTAGTGACATTAAGATTTTAGGTGTGGCCCAATTTTACACCTTCAATTTACTTGTCATGTGTTGAAAAAAAGGCCCCCTTGGATGGGAGCCCCAGCTTCCTCTGTCCTGCCCCAGGTGAGCCCAGGCTCATACCCATCCCTGCTTGGAAGCATAGCCCTTTCATTGATTTCAGGCTGATTGATTGCTCAGTAACCTTAGCTTTTTGATGGGTTCAATAAATGTTACGATCTTCTATTTATCCATCTTTTTCTCATCCTTAGAACAGAAACAAAACTCTTTCCAGCCTTCTACATCATAAGTGGAAACCTGAAGTCCCTGTTGTGATTGTTTTGTAAAGCTATCTACAGAGACGCATAGTATAACTGAATCAGAGAAATTTACCAAATAATTTTTAAGCAAATATGTGCTTTGTAAAATCATCAAACACTGCCCATTAGGAAATTCCTTCTGTCTGAGAATTTTATGTTTTTCTCTCTTTTCTTAATCTTTAGGCCTCAGAGGAGCTCCAGGATACTCCTTGGATCAAGCCCACCATCTTCCCATTGAAATGGATCCATTAATTGGTATGTTAATAAAAAAGAATAAATTTTCATGGATACTATCCACATATTCATGTATAGTTATTTTTCATAAGATAGTTAAATCATTTTTTTACCACAAGATTAATTTACTAATAATATCAAATTATCATCAAGGAGCTGTGTAAATCATAGTATGACATCTAAGAACTTTTTGTTATTAAAGCAATTGTTTCTTGACATTTTTGGAGGTCATTTAAGTTGGTTATAAGTAAGGGGAATAATTCCAAACTGTATATTCTTTCAGCCTAAAATGTTCTCTAACAGCTCAGTATTATTTAAAATATAAGGATTCAAAAAGATTTTTAAAGGCTGGGGGAGGGACAGCATTAGGAGGAATACTTAATGTAAATGACGAGTTGATGGGTGCAGCAAACCAACATGGCACATGTATACCTATGTAACAAACCTGCATATTGTGCACATGTACCCCAGAACTTAAATTAAAAAAAAAAACAAAAAGGCCGGGCACGGTGACTCACGCCTGTAATCCCAGCACTTTGGGAGGCCAAGATGGGTGGATCATGAGGTCAGGAGATGGAGACCATCCTGGCTAACACGATGAAACCCTGTCTCTACTAAAAATACAAAAAAATTAGCCAGGCCTTGGTGGCAGGCGCCTGTAGTCCCAGCTGCTCGGGAGGCTGAGGCAGGAGAATGGCATGAACCCGGGAGGCAGAGCTTGCAGTGAGCCGAGATCGTGCCACTGCACTCCAGCCTGGGTGACAGAGCGAGACTCAAAAAAAAAAAAAAAAAGGAAACTCATATTGAAGAGCATCTTTTCTGGCAGTCTTTATCATTGAATTTTTTTAAACTAACATGTTGTAAAGCAAATGTTTCATATGAATTGCAAACTGATGAGCTCTAACTCTTTGCAGCAGACATTCAAAATATTTTTAAATAATCATGTACATATGTATTAGCCATTTGATCCAGAGCTAGCTTCTTAGTCCTTCTAGGCCCTTCCAGTTTCGTATCTGTAAGACAGTTTTTAATAATGTTTGATCTATATGTATCATTGAATGATAAGATAAATTAGAAAAAAATTGAAAATGCTACGAAAAGTTATTAAGCTACATATTAAAGTCATGGTGTTTTATTCTTTGATTCTTGTTTTGTTTTTTGTTTGTTTTTTTGTTTTGAGATGGAGTCTCACTGTGTCACCCAGGAGGGAGTGCAGTGATGCAATCTCGGGCCACTGCAACCTCCGCCTCCCAGGTTAAACCAATTCCCCCACCTCAGCCTCCCGAGTAGCTGGGATTACAGGGGTGCACAACCACACCTAGCTAATTTTTGTATTTTTAGTAGAGACAGGATTTCACCGTGTTGGCCAGTCAGGTCTCGAACTCCTGACCTCAAGTGATCCACCTGCCCAGCCGTCCCAAAGTGCTGGGATTACAGACGTGAGCCACCACGCCCAACCTCTTATTCTTAGATTCAAATTCATCCTTCGTCTTTGAACCTGGAAATAAGATAAGATACAGGCATTTCAATTAGTTACTTATACCCATACACAAAATACCATTTACATTGGGAGCTTATAAGGTTTAGGATTAAGAATATTATTAGTCTAGTGTAGCTATTTCTCTTTCCAGCAGACATTGACAATCAAATATACAGCTAGTGTGTAACCATGGAAAAATTAATAGGTCTATTCTAATTAGTAAAGGACCAATTGTATAGTTTTCATGTGGCCTGGGATCTTTGGTCTTTTTTTCCTGACGTTTTTGTATAATTTTTTTATTGCTTATGTTTCCTAGTAGTTATTTTTATAGTGTTAGTAGATGTCTACAAATAGTAGTACTTATATTTAACTGGTGTTAGAGAGTGGTGGTGACCGTCTACATCTGCATTTCTGTTTAAGAATTCAGCCCAGGGATTTATCCTGAAAGGATGGCGTGCAGTAAGGGACAGGCTGGCATGCAGACAGGCACTGGGGAAATCAGATGGTGTCTCTGAGTTCCTGACTTTATTCAGATTCAATCCCAGGGCTCTGCACTGATTCTTTGCCTGTCTCTTTCCTCACCAGTCCCTCTCGCATCTTTTTTGTTCCTCTCCTCCCCTGCTAGCCCATTCTGGAAAGGTCTTCTGTCTGTTGACAATCCAGGCCTATAAAGCTGCTGACCTGAAGCTCCCTGTGGGGCTACCCACATAACAACATCCCTTGCTCAAATCTCTACCCTCCTTTTTCAGAGGAATTATAAAAATACCATCTGAAAATGACGGACTGGGGCAAATATTAATATATCTCTTCCTTAATAACATACTTTATACAATATTTAGTTCTCATGTGATTCTTATAAACTAATGAACTTGTGTGTAGTAAGCACCTAAAGAATTAAATGCATTAAAATATTGTATTATGTTGTAAATTAATTTTCTTGAATTCCTCATATTGTTTTTATTTATTGGTGGAGGGAGAACTGAAATTTCTGGCAGAATTTTAAAATATATAATATGGTTCATAAATAATCACTGCTACTAAGGAAATCTTTATTCCTCAAGGGAGAATCTTAATAATCTCATACCATTTAAAAAAACTATTTCTGGATAAATGAAGCATGAAAGTATTGTTTTCCTTCTATGAGTGCTTGGAGAAACTCATATGGAATCTTTCTTCAAATTTTTTTTTCCATTTAGCCAATAATTCTGGTGTAAACAAACGGCAGATCACAGACCTCGTTGACCAGAGTATACAAATCAATGCACATTGTTTTGTGGTCACAGCAGATAATCGCTATATTCTTATCTGTGGATTCTGGGATAAGAGCTTCAGAGTTTATTCTACAGAAACAGGTAATCCTATGAAACACCGTATTCTCTTCAAAATGACTATTGTTAAAACCAAAGCTGAATATGAAATCATACTTGATGTAGGCATTTTTATCATTTGCCAACAGCTGAATATGAAATCATACTTGATGTAGGCATTTTTATCATTTGCCAACTTGAATAGTCAAGATTCAAATTAAATGTTCACATTGTAAGTGAAGTAACTATAACTTCATCTATTCCAAACATTAGCATGATCCCTGAGTTCATAGGACAAATAGGGCTATTTTTCCCTTCACACAAATTCATATGCAGTAAAAGATCCTGAAACTCCCCTTCTGGCCCAAACCCTGAAGAGAAAAATCATGATCATGTTATTTAATAAAGTCTTTTCCTTAAAAATCTCAAGTGACATTCTTGTATCAATTTTCAAAAGCAATGCAAGAAAGCAACCTGTAGCCAGATTTGAATAACATTGTAACTTTATCAGCCTATAGATGAACTTTTCACAAAACTGGTAAAATAAAATAAAAAATATGGTAAAATTTTTAAAATCTGATAAAGTTACACTTATTACCATTTGAAGAAAAAGATTAAATGAAGCAAACCTGTCATTTCTGTGTTGCAGGGAAATTGACTCAGATTGTATTTGGCCATTGGGATGTGGTCACCTGCTTGGCCAGGTCTGAGTCATACATTGGTGGAGACTGCTACATTGTGTCCGGATCTCGAGATGCCACCCTGCTGCTCTGGTACTGGAGTGGGCGGCACCATATCATAGGAGACAACCCTAATAGCAGTGAGTGTTTGTATCAAATTGTCCTTTCAAACTATATAAATACATATTTAAATATATTTTGCCGTTTTGATTTTCCTAATAGTTTTTTCCTAAGGTGTAAGGATTTTAAAACATGAAAGCTTAAGTGGCCAGAATCTGTACTGGAACACAGCTATGTTCAAAGTGTTAAAAGGAGCAGTACTATCACCTTCAACAAGGAGAGACTTCCAGATCCCCTCAACAATCCCCTACCCAGATCCTCTGCTCAGCAGCCCGGTCTCCAAATGTCCATGTCCTTCAGCTTCATCTAGTCCATTAAACCTCATATGATTTCTTTCAGCTGAAAATAATCCCTCCCTTCTCTGAATTTTTAGAAATTTTATCTGTGTCTCAGTCAGGGCACTCATTACTGTAGTAAATTTCTGCGTTTATTCATTTAGCAGTGAGTACCCGCTTCACATGAGGCATGGTTGGGGATGCAAAAACTGAATAAGACAGTTTCCTTGCTTGGGAGGATTCCTCAAGTGATTGTTATTCCACAGTGCACCCTAAGATATCTGATAGGAAGAAAGTGTCAGGGGAGGCTGGACTCCTTCGTGAAATAATTTTGGAGTACATTGTTTATACTCAAATATTCTACATAAGCTCTGAAAGTCTTACACAAATAAATTTGTTGATGCTTTTTTAATCCACAGCCTCTCAAACTTCTTTCTCCAAGGAAACTTTTATTTATGTAAGAGAAGTTAATTATTAGTTCTTGGACTGCTGCCCCAAGAAAACACTGAAGTGGATAATGAGTGTCTGTCTTTCCATCTTAAGTTCCTGTCATAGTGATATACATAATAGGTTTCCAGTAAATTAAATGACTGGAGAGCTGGATAAGAGATTGCCTAGAAATAATTACTGCTTTTAATTACTAAACTTTCAATAGTTCATTCAAATGCATGGCTTTCCTGTAAAATATAGAAAGGTTTCTGTGAAGTGATAATGGCAAGTACACAAACCAGGATTATTGAGATTGTCACAGCTTACACAGCACTCCAAAATAAACTGAAACATGAATTTAGGGAATACTTATAACCCAACAGAGATAAAAGTTTTCCAGGAAACCTGTGCATCTACAACTAAAATACTGTGAGAGTAGATAAGAAATCTACAAGATGCCATGTTACATTGCTTGGCCTGCTGCTGCCTCTCTGGGCAGTTCTAACCTGTGAGACAGCAAGGGGTGGAAATCGAATTGCACCTCCACCCTTCATGTCCCACTCCATCCCCCCAACTCTTATGCATTTTGACAGGAATACTGCAAAAGTAGGAAATGGCTTTGGTTGGATAAGAACAAAGGCTCCTGCTTTAAAAACTTTTTGGGGGTGGAGCAAGATGGCTGAATAGGAACAGCTCCAGTCTCCAACTCCCGGCGCAAGCGATACAGAAGACAGGTGATTTCTCCATTTTCAACTGAGGTACTGGGTTCATCTCACTAGGGAGTGCCAGACAATCAGTGCTGGTCAGCTGCTGCAGCCCGACCAGCAAGAGCTGAAGCAGGGCGAGGCATCGCCAAACCTGTAAGGCACAAGGGGGAAGGGAATCCCTTTTCCTAGCCAGGGAAACTGAGACACACAACACCTGGAAAATCGGGTAACTCCCACCCCAATACTGCGCTCTACCAAGGATCTTAGCAAACGGGCACACCAGGAGACTATATCCCACACCTGACCGGGAGGGTCCCACGCCCAGGGAGCCTCCCTCATTGCTAGCACAGCAGTCTGCAGTCTCATGGCAAGGCAGCAGCGAGGCTGGGGGAGGGGCACCGGCCATTGCTGAGGCTTAAGTAGATAAAGTGGCTGGGAAGCTCGAACTGGGTGGAGCTCACAGCAGCTCAAGGAGTCCTGCCTGTCTCTGTAGACTCCACCTCTGGGGATAGGGCACAGCTAAACAACAACAACAACAACAAAAAGCAGCTGAAACCTCTGCAGACGCAAATGACTCTGTCTGACAGCTTTGAAGTGAGCAGTGGATCTCCCAACACGGAGGCTGAGATCTGAAAATGGACAGACTACCTGCTCAAGTGGGTCCCTGACCCCTGAGTAGCCTAACTGGGAGACATCCCCCACTAGGGGCAGACCGACACCTCACACATCACACGGTGGAGTACACCCCTGAGAGGAAGCTTCTATAGCAGGAATCAGACAGGTGCACTCGCTATTCAGCAATATTCCATCTTCTGCAGCCTCTGCTGCTGATACCCAGGCAAACAGGGTCTGGAGGGGACCTCAAGCAATCTCCAACAGACCTACAGCTGAGGCTTCTGACGGTTAGAAGGAAAACTAACAAACAGGAAGGACACCCACACCAAAACCCCATCAGTACGTCACCATCATCAAAGACCAGAGGCAGATAAAACCACAAAGATGGGGAAAAAGCAGGGCAGAAAAGCTGGAAATTCAAAAAATAAGAGCGCCTCGCCCCCTGCAAAGGAACGCAGCTCATCGCCAGCAACGGATCAAAGCTGGACGGAGAATGACTTTGACAAGATGAGAGAAGAAGGATTCAGTCCATCAAACTTCTCAGCGCTAAAGGAGGAATTACGTACCCAGTGCAAAGAAACTAAAAGTCTTGAAAAAAAAGTGGAAGAATTGATAACTAGAATAATTAATGCAGAGAAGGCCATAAACGAATGGACAGAGATTAAAACCATGACACGAGAAATATGTGACAAATGCACAAGCTTCAGTAACCGACTCGATCAACTGGAAGAAAGAGTATCAGTGATTGAGGATCAAATGAATGAAATGAAGCGAGAAGAGAAATCTAAAGAAAAAAGAAGACAAAGAAATGAACAAAGCCTGCAAGAAGTATGGGATTATGTAAAAAGACCAAATCTACGTCTGATTGGGGTGCCTGAAAGTGAGGGGGAAAATGGAACCAAGTTGGAAAACACTCTTCAGGATATCATCCAGGAGACTTCCCCAACCTAGCAGGGCAGGCCAACATTCAAATTCAGGAAATACAGAGAATGCCACAAAGATACTCCTCGAGAAGAGCAACTCTAAGACACCTAATTGCCAGATTCACCAAAGTTGAAATGAAGGAAAAAATCTTAAGGGCAGCCAGAGAGAAAGGTCGGGTTACCCACAAAGGGAAGCCCATCAGGCTAAGAACAGATCTCTCAGCAGAAACTGTACAAGCCAGAAGAGAGTGGGGGCCAATATTCAACATTCTTAAAGAAAAGAATTTTCAACCCAGAATTTCATATCCAGCCAAACTAGGCTTCCTAAGTAAAGGAGAAATATAATCCTTTACAGATAAGCAAATGCTTAGAGATTTTGTCACCACCAGGCCTGCCTTACAAGAGACCCTGAAGGAAGCACTAAACATGGAAAGGAACAACCGGTACCAGCCATTGCAAAAACATGCCAAAATGTAAAGACCATCGAGGCTAGGAAGAAACTGCATCAACTAACAAGCAAAATAACATCATAATGGCTGGATCAAGTTCACACATAACAATATTAACCTTAAATGTAAATGGACTAAATGCTCCAATTAAAAGACACAGACTGGCAAACTGGATAAAGAGTCAAGACCCATCAGTCTGCTGTATTCAGGAGACCCATCTCACATGCAGAGACATACATAGACTCAAAATAAAGGGATGGAGGAAGGTCTACCAAGCAAATGGAGAACACAAAAAAGCAGGGGTTGCAATACTAGTCTCTGATAAAACAGACTTTAAACCATCAAAGATCAAAAGAGACAAAGAAGGCCATTACATAATGGTAAATGGATCAATTCAACAGGAAGAGCTAACTATCCTAAATATATATGCACCCAATACAGGAGCACCCAGATTCATAAAGCAAGTCCTTAGAGACTTAAAAAGACACTTAGACTCCATACAATAATAATGGGAGACTTCAACACCCCACTGTCAACATTAGATAGATCAACGAGACAGAAAGTTAACAAGGATGTCCAGGAACTGAACTCATCTCTGCAGCAAGCAGACCTAATAGACATCTACAGAACTCTCCACCCCAAATCGAACAGCATATACATTCTTCTCGGCACCACATCACACTTATTCCAAAATTGACCACATAATTGGAAGTAAAGCACTCCTCCGCAAATGTACAAGAACAGAAATTATAACAAACTGTCTCTCAGACCACAGTGCAATCAAACTAGAACTCAGGACTAAGAAACTCAATCAAAACCGCTCAACTACGTGGAAACTGAACAACCTGCTCCTGAATGACTAATGGGTAATAACGAAATGAGGGCAGAAATAAAGATGTTCTTTGAAACCAATGAGAACAAAGATACAACATACCAGAATCTCTGGCACACATTTAAAGCAGTGTGTAGAGGGAAATTTATAGCACTAAATGCACACAAGAGAAACCTGGAAAGATCTAAAATTGACACTCTAACATCACAATTAAAAGAACTAGAGAAGCAAGAGCAAACACATTCAAAAGCCAGCAGAAGGCAAGAAATAACTAAGATCAGAGCAGAACTGAAGGAGATAGAGACACAAAAAACCCTCCAAAAAATCAATGAATCCAGGAGTTGGTTTCTTGAAAAGATCAACAAAATTGATAGACCGCTACGAAGACTAATAAAGAAGAAGAGAGAGAAGAATCAAATAGACGCGATAAAAAATGAGAAAGGGGATATCACCACCGACCCCACAGAAATACAAACTACTATCAGAGAATACTATAAACACCTCTACGCAAATAAACTAGAAAATCTAGAAGAAATGGATAATTTCCTGGACACTTACACTCTCCCAAGACTAAACCAGGAAAAAGCTGAATCCCTGAATAGACCAATAACAGGCTCTGAAATTGAGGCAATAATTAATAGCCTACCAACGAAAAGAAGTCCAGGACCAGATGGATTCACAGCTGAATTCTACCAGAGGTACAAGGAGGAGCTGGTACCATTCCTTCTGAAACTATTCCAATCAATAGAAAAAGAGGGAATCCTCCCTAACTCATTTTATGAGGCCAACA